TGCAAGTAGATAAGAACTTGATAATAATTGCCTATCATACACAAACAATACCAGACTACCAACCATAATTTCTGCAGCCACACACACTATTTTTACATCTTCTTGAAGTGTAAAGATAAACACATTCATGAATACGATGCAAAGCTATAGTAACTTTATAACATTTTATTTTTTTAAGATTATTTATTTGAGAGAGAGGAGCAGAGATGGGGGGAGGGGGGGAGAGAGAGAATCCTAAGAAGGCTTCCTGCTGTCAGCGCAGAGGCTCAAGCTCACGAACCATGAGATCATGACCTGAGCCGAAACCAGGAGTCGGACACTTAACTGACTGAGCCACCCTATAACATTTTGATAGAAGCAGAGTTGTTTATATTAAAAGCTATGCTTTATGACTAAGGTTTTGGAGATCACTAAGAATCTTGGAAATCATGTTTTAAGCTGATACTTTTAAAACATAATTACTATTGATATAAAAGTCAGAATTATGATTCAGTTTAAACACAATTTTTTTATGCTTGTGAAACTTTATGTAGGGATACTGTACGTGGTGCCTGGTGTATCCATATCAGAATATTAGGAAGTTCAGATTAACTAGTCTCTTTATTTGGAAAATACAAGCCCACACCTTTACAAAATCATGGAGAAAACATAGGTATGTATTTTAAGCAAAAATTATTAAGTTAGTCTTATTTGTCTAAAGACTCACTTTTATTACGTGAACTGGGCTCTCTATAAAAAATTTTTCTGAGCTTCTAGAAGAATCTCTAAAGATTTTTTTTCTTTGTTAAGATACTAGAAGAGAAGATTTCTGAAAATGCTTACTATTCTCTATGAACCAGATTATCCTTCCTTTCAATTCCAAGACTTTATAATTTAATTTATTAATACCCTTCTATGTTAGGAACATATTTCACGCACACACGGTGAGAGATAACGGCTTTTCTCAATTACAGGAACACAGAGAATATGTAACTTCAGTTCTGCAACCTCAGAAATAGCTTTAAGTAATCAAAGAAACATAAAAACTAACCAGTCAGGATTTCAAAAGGCTATTTTCCTTTCTAGTGTCCATGAAATTTTATATTAAATAGCCTAAGCCCACAAATAGTCAAAAAACAAATTAAAGGAGAGAAACTCAAATTCTTTACCATCTCCCACAAGAGATAATAGATCCCCAGAATCCCGAAAGCCGTCTCAAGAAGTCAGATTATAAAATTACAGTGGTGCTCATTACTGCTACCAGTGGGGAATTATTTATTGTTGTTGCTGTCTAGTGCAAACTAGATCCAGAACCAAAATGACCAAAACCAGAAAAAATTCAGAAGTACTAAGTTAGAAAAAAAACATGTTAACAAACATAGCTCATTATTGCTGCTTTGGAATCACTGTGGAGACCAAGCAAATAGGTGCCTGGGCTTAAACAGCCCATGAAGTGCATTTCTGTGATGACAGTTGAATTGGCTTTGTGAATCCACTGTGGCATCTTGGTGGAACCTCCAAAGCTATTGTAGGCTAATATTCGGAGAGTTAAAAAATGACTTTGGTACATATAAAATGAACATGTATTAGACTTTACTAAACTCAACTAATTAATGAGAGAACCAGTGAGATGGTAAATGTGATTCAAAGGACATTTTAGAAGAACATATAGTTCAAGGCAATATTACTTAATAAAGTAGTATTAGAACATTAATAAAGTAACATTGCTAAGTTAGACATAAAACTAGTTAATATTCTACAGGGAAATAAACCATGGCCTATGAGATTATCTTTTTAACAGAAGAAAAGTATCTGAGTTTTTCAGGACAAAAATCTACAAATTAACATACAACTTAAGTATATCCAGGTTTTTAATCAATTTTAAACAGTGGATCAATTAAAATACATTCCCCCAAATTATCCTTGGTTGGACCTGTTAAATAATGCACCTACATCACATAAAAAAGATAGGTTGCTCTCCTTTTTGCCCTTGTTTTCAAGCTTTAAATAACTGAACACATGGCAGCAACACATGATACAACCAACACTTGCCCAGAGTAATTATATAGACAAGTTTTATTGATGGGAAGAGTCAATATGATAAAGATGTTAGTTTTCCCTGAAGTAATCTAAAAATCAGTATGATTTTATTCAAACCTCAACAAGTGTTTTTATAGAACTTGTTCAGTAAGTCCAAAATTAATTATGAAGAGAAAAAGCTCAAGAATAGCTCAGAAAAATTTGAGGACAATGAACTAAGTAAAGGGAATTGTCCTATGAAATGTCAAAACTTATTATGAAGCAATGGAGTATGCAGAGATAGACAAACAGACGAGTAGAAACTAATAGAAAACCCAAAACATGTTGATACACATTTGAAACCCTGACAGACGTAGCACTACAATCAATGGAGAAAAAGTGAACTCTTACTAAATGTTGTTAAGCAGATTGTTTATAACACTTGGAAAAAATAAAAATAGATAGCTAACACATATTATAATAAAAAATAATTTCCAGGGGTGCCTGGGCGGCTCCATCAGTTAAGTGTCTGACTGTCAATTTTAGCTAAGGTCGTGATCTCACAGTTTGTGGGACAGAGCCCTGTGTCGAGCTCCATACTGATCAGCACAAAGCCTGCTTAGGATCCTCTCTCTCCCTCTGTCCACCCCTCCCATTCTCTCTTTCTGTGTCTTTCAAAAATGAATAAATAAACTTAAATAAAAAAAATAGCTGGGTAGATAACTAAATGCAGAAAAGCAAAACATTAAAACTTGTAGAAGAAAGTATAGAATGTTTGTATAACTTTGAGGCAGAAAGGGAGTCCTGAAAGAAAACACAGAAATACCTAATACAAAGCTGAAATTGCAAATGTGATTATAGTTTTAAAATTTTTTTTCCTCAAAATACCATTTTTCAGAGAAATCTGAAAGGACAAGCTACGGATTGGGCCAAAGGTATTTGCAGCGTATTTCATTGAGAAAGTGTTAGTACACAGGATGTATAAGAACATCTTCAATAAATCAATAAGGAACAAGATACTCAACCCAAAAACATCAACAAAAATGGTTAAAAAAAAAAAACATGATCTAACAGTCTTGCAGAAGTGGGCAAATAACTCGATCTGAAAAGTACATGCAGCCACACTAGTAATCAAGGACATGCAATTAAAATCACAATGTGATATCTTTTTACACTTACAAGATCACCAGTATTTTTAAAAAATTTTTTAATGTTTATTTATTTTTGAGAGAGAGACAGAGTGAGAGCGAGGGAGGGGCAGAGACACAGAGACACACAAAATCCAAAGCAGGCTCCAGGCTCTGAGCTGTCAGCACAGAGCCCAACGCGGGGCTCGAACTCACGAACTGAGAGATCATGACCTGAGCCCAAGTCAGATGCTCAACCAACTGAGCCACCTAGGCGCCCCGAGATTGCCAGTATTTAAAAGGTTCCAAATCTCACCAAGGTGAGATTGGTGAGAGTGTGAAAAGTCAGAACCTTTCATACAATGCTATTGAGAATATGGATTGGCATAGCATCTTGAACAAAATTTGTCGGTCTGTTTAAGTTGAAAAAGCCTATGTTCCTTGATTCAGGAATTCTATTTCTAGCTATATTGTAGAGAAATCCAACACATGTGCATAAGGAGACATGTATGAGCTAAAATGGAAAACAATACAACTGTCCATCTGCAAAATAATGGGTGAATATATTCTGGTATATTCATAAAAGATAATGCTACACGGGTGTTAAAATGAACTAATAGAGGAGCCCCTGGGTGGCTCAGTCGGTTAAGTGTCTGACTCTTGATTTCAGCTCGGATCATGATCTCACGGTTTCGTGAGTTTGAGCCCTGTGTCAGGCTTTGCACACTGACCTCATGGAACATAATTTGGGATTCTTTCTCTCCCTCTTTCATCTCTCTCTCCCTCCCTCTCTCTCTCCCTTTCTCTCTCAAAATACAAATAAATAAATAAATAAATTTAAATGAACTAGTAGAATGGTTCTATAACCATGGATAAATCTGATACGTAACACTGGGTGAAGCATATTGTGCATATCATATATATGTGTTATTTCTACATCTCAACCCCAATAGGAAGACTAAGCATCAAAATTAGTATGATGGTTACCTCTAAGGAAACAGTGAGCAGACTAGAATTAGAGGCAAATAATAAAGGGGCTTCAGCTTTTCCATAATACATTCCTTTAGAAAAAAAATGACTCAAATATTGCACAGTGCTGAGATTTGATAAAGTTGGGTGTTTGGTACATGGGTTTTTATTAGCTAATTTTCTCTGCACTTCCCCATGATTGAAATACTTGAAAATACTTCAGAAAATAAAAAAGAAATACTTCATTTTGAGACATAAAAAAATTGTGTATATATAACATATATATATATATATACACACATATATACATATGTATATATGTATGTATATATGTGTGTGTATATATATATATAAGTTTAAAAGCATTATATACTAAATAACACTAATACTGTGTGTTGCTCCTAAACATAAATAAATACATACATTTATATACATGTGTCTGAACACATGCACTCATATACGGTTATAAGCATTATATATTTCAAGCGTACAACTTGAATAGGAAGGATTCCCTGCAATTCCTTGAGGAGGAAAAGTGGAAGGCAGGACTAGGTATGAGGCCCATAGTGTATTTCAGCTGGATGTATTATGTTTTATGTAATTTATTAAGGACAAAAAAATGATGTAAGTATGCCATACATTAGCAGTTATGAATTCTTTGTGATAGGATTATGAATATTGAGTAAACTGAATCTCTCCATTTAGTATTGCTTCTATCTATTTTTTCAAAACAATCTTTTTAAAACATTAAGCATTTGGCTAAGATCTGGAACTTGTGTATAAAAAACAAATTTTGGATCAATAAGAGTGTCTTAAATATCAAGTGTTTTGTCAACTCATGTATTGAAAATGGTAATGTATTATCAGAAAAGTTAATTATGGGTAATTTTTCCCCTCTTCCCAAAGAATACAAGTCAATGACCAGATTGTGGAAGTGGATGGAATCAGCTTGGTGGGTGTCACACAGAATTTTGCTGCAACAGTTCTCAGAAACACCAAGGGCAATGTCAGGTAAATATGTGGTTTCAGATATGTATAATTTCATTACTTAATATTATGTTGAATTTTAGCCTGCTAGAATTGTACCTATAGATGTATGTAATTTCAATGAGAATTTTATCTAAATACTTAAAACTTGCCTTTAGTTTTTAATGTTTCCTTCTTATTTGCTTATATTGTTATATTTGTTAAATTACATTTGTTTATACAAATGTAATTTAAAACCAAAAATTATGGTATTTTAGAAAGGCATGAAGATACGAAGTATACAGTGTGAATCAACATGGTCAATTACTGAACTATGTTAGTGTTCCTAACTAGATAGAATTTCTACTTACATCCTCAACAAATATGAATTTAGACTCTAAATCCTTTTAATAAAATCAGTTATACTATAAGTTGAAATTGAGCTGATTATATCTATATCCAGTGGTACATGGTTCTTAGAAAGACTGTCCAAATTATGTAAGGTTAATAAATGCATTTAAAAAATCTCTTCATAGACTTTATAGGACTAATCTTTGATAAACTGTAACTTTGCCAATTTAAAGTACAGAGGGTACATTCTTTTAGACCTTGAAATTTATATTTGATCCTGGGGTTCTGAAAATTGTAGCTTGGAAAACAAATAAGAAAGTAGTCCTGAGCCAGCTAAGGTCAAGTTAAGAAATCCATTTTATTTGGTCATAAGGCATTTATGTATGTATGTATGTATGTATGTATGTATGTATGTATGTATTTTTTGTTTTGTTTTTAATTTTTATTTTTTTAATTTACATCTAAGTTAGTTATGTATGTATGTATGTATTTTTTTAAAGTTTATTTATTTATTTTGAGACAGAAAGAGAGTGAGCAAGCGAGCCGGGAAGGGGCAGAGAGAGAGAGGGAAAGAGAATCCCAGGCAGGCTCTGTGCTGTTAGCACTCATGTGCTGTTAGAACTCATGAACTGTGAGATCGTGACCTGAGCTGAAACCAAGAGTTGGATGCTTAACCGACTGAACCACCCAGCTGCCCCATAGGGTATTTGTTTTTAAATACAGTGTTTCTTATGTCTTAATACTTTTCCATCAATCCTATGAAGGAACATATAGGGGACATTATTTAGTATGGGTAGGTCTCCAAATGTTTTAGTGTTATCAGCAGAATAGAACTGCCAAATATTTTGAAAATACCAAGTGAGTTAATATTGCTGTAAAGACAGTAACATGAAGATTTTTTTTGCAGCATGCTTTATGTTGCACAAACATGGGTTTAAGTTTTAGAATTTAGACTGTTTCATTTGGAAAATATCCTTTAATGCTGAAGGAAATGTTTAAGGAACACATCCGTGACTTTTATGGGTGCTGTGTTGATGCTCCAAGAATACCCATAGTCCTGAGAAAAGGATGTGAAATAATTGGAAAGAGCATAGATAAAAAACTGTCTGATGCTCCCTCAGGACAGGCGATTTGTCTTTCTGCAGATTGTTGTCTGTTTTTGAGACAGCACTTTCCTATGTCAGTATAGAACTTGGTTTAAAAGCTACCCCAATTAAGCTTTGAAGTGAATTTTAAAGTGAAGTGAGATATACATTAAACTTAGAAGACTATTTTTCTTTTTCTTTTTTTTATAAGAACATTTTTTCAGTTGCAAAGAAGTTTACAGTTACATGAAATCCTAGCCATCCCTTTCCTTCAAGCCTTGTCCAAATTGCAAATGACTTCTTAACTCTACCCTGATTGCAGGCTTTCCCTTCTTCAGTCTGTCCCTCTCATCCTTCCTCCTAGTGGAGGAAAATAATAGTTTTCAAATCTAGGAAGGTCTGTCTATCATGGAAAAAGGAATTGACTCATTCTGTGTAACTCTGGCACTGGAAGGTCTAACACCTATAGGTAGAAATAATAATTCTGCATCCATTATGTGCCTCTCTTCTTCAGAAACCTTCAATGGCCCTCCATTCTGTACAGAATCTAAGCTCTTTATCCAGATATTAAAATTTTTTCATCATCCAGTCTTACCACTTACCTCTCTCTATGTTCATACTTTGGTTCCGTTGGACTGGTGTAGTCATATTCCTTCAAATGTGCCTTGTGAGTTATTGTTTTATTATTGTATCTTTCTGTCTGCCATTTTTTTCTGTTTAAAACACTGTCTTCTGTTTAGAACCTATTTATCTTAAGGCACATATTTCAGCTCCTTTGCCCTGAAGAAGTCCTCCTTGACCTCTGTATTACCTAGGGATCTCTTCTTCCTGGTAACACTCATCATTCATACTATTTTTTTGACCTTGAGGTGACAGCACATTCTATTTTCATATTTTAAAGGCATACATTTTATTTCCTCATTCACTTTGCACAAGTCTTGATACTGAAATGGGACCTTTGGCCCCCTTTGTTCCCCCAAATTATTTAACTCAGGGCCTTAGTTAATTGAATATAAGGAAAAAGTCTTTTCTCAATTTTAATTTATTAAAAATATTTGAATCCTCTGAATATATTTTAGGTGGTAGTTCTTCATAAAGTATTAATACAAAAATAGGATCCAAAAACAAGATCTGTATTTTCATGAACTTTTTAAAACTGAGAATTTAAAATATGTATGGTTTTGAATTTCTTATTATTTGGTGACTTTGCTATCATATTTAGTGGTTACTAAAATTTATTCTCAAAAAATGATATCTACAAAATTAGTCAGTTTAGTTTGATTTTTTTCCTAACTAGTAGGCACAGACCTGGGAGGAATGTGTGAGAGCCGTGGGTCTAAAGATCCAAGTAGGAGAAAGATGTGAAGCTAGAGGTGATGAGAAAAACAAAACTGAGATTTGAATGGTGATTATTTCTTAAGTATTGGAGGTCAAGATTTTTACTTATTTCCTTGAAATGTGTATGAAATTGGTGTCACCATTTGGATGTGAATCGAAATTATACAGTGAAGTTCTGTGACTTCATCCACACTTTCAGAGAATTATTTTCCATCTGACCTCAGTCTACTTTATTCTAGTAAAGTAAAAATTATGATACCTGAGTTCATGAACCAATACTACTAACAAAGACCCCATGAATATGACATTTTTAATGCTCTAGAGAAATTACAACTATTTTAATGTTGCAACTTTCAAGGATATATGTACGTTTTTCAACCCTACATCATTTATATGAATTAAAGCATACATTAGGCCATGGTTAACAAGTGGTTCCGGTAAATGATTATTATTTCCTTCACTTAACTGATATCGCTTAAAACGAAACACTCACGGTAAGTACTGTGTTTATATCATGTAATTATGTAATTGATTAGGAAAGGACCCGCAGGATTCAAATAGTTTATACTCAGAAATGATGCAACACAGGAACAGCAGGAGAAAGATGAGCATTAACAGGGTGGGCATGGAGGACTCAGGCTCATCCTTCCACTGGGCCTCACAGGACTTGGTCTCCAGATTCTAAACCACCACAGGCATGTGCATGAAGCATCTTGGTATCAAGAAGTGCAAAGTCTACGTATGGTTAGGGATTTCTCACTGAAATCATTGACAGCCCCTAGATTCTACCAAATCCCAGTAGAAGTAACAAATCCGGTTATTACCAGTTTTGACAAGTTAGTCTGTCTTGCCTTCAAACAATTCATGGACCCATATTTGCAAAGCATCATTTGTCCCTGGTTAGTACATTTCACAGCTCTGACCAGTGTTCAGTACCATGCTCTAGGCAGTTCTGAAGATGAGTACTTTGTCAATCCAGGTGGTCTCATGCTATATAATACATATTACATATAACACATAACACATTTACTGCTCTCCTTTGGTTTAGATTCTTACTATTTAGTATGTTTCTATTGTATGTTTCTTCTTCAAAAAATTTTTTATTTGAACACATTTATTATATATTTCAATTTTACCTGGTGAAAACCTAAAAAGAAAATGTTGTAAATTATTTAAAAACCTATAATCTTTTTGGTGGCCCATAGAATGTAACTTGCCAAATGTAATATAGTTAAAAAGTTAGAAAAAAGTTCTATTCTTATTATCAGATCCTGCATTATGTGAAAAATAATTTAAAGGGTAGAGATTCAGATCATTTGAATCAGCAGGTTTATCCACTTATTCACAATTCCTTTTTATAACAGAACTTACTAAATGATGCTTTTCTTGGAGGTCCTTAAAAGAGCCTTATGTCTGTTGGTCCATGTAAAGTTATGGGAAAAATACTTTTAAACTTGAAATTATAAGATCATTAGAAAAATAATGATTAGTTTGAAAGACATAAAAATACTGGTTGTGTACCTATGGAAGGAAAGTAGGAATCTATAGATACTAGGAGACTAATTCAAAGTTATACAAACTACCTTCCATTTATTTTTGGATATCTTTTATATTTGGATATTTTGTATATACATATATATATATATATATTTGGATATTTTTTGTATTTGGGTATATATATATGTATATATATATGTGTGTGTGTGTGTGTGTGTGTGTGTGTGTGTGTGTATGTGTGTATATCCATATATAGTTTTGCCACAGATGTCCCAAATGTAGACAGTTGACTCAGTCTCTTATGTTACATCTCTGTGGACAATAAAAAAATGTATTTGAATTATAGTGAAGCTAGAGGATAGGTAAAATCATACAGCTGATTCTGGTATTATTTAATTTATTCATTGATATTTCTTTATGCACTTAGTGCTAGGAATAATTATCTTTCTCTAGTAACTGCCTTTTTTCACATGAAGCCAGACCTCGTGGATTCAGATTCTGGTTTAACTACTTAGATACATGAGTTCATAGAAGTGTTTAAATCTCCCTGTGCTGTAGTTTCTTCACCTATAAAATGGGCATCATGATAGTACCTACCCCATACATTGGTGATGATTATTAAATGAATTAATACATGTAATAAATGCCTACAAAAAGTTGGACCTCAATGAAATATTGGTGATTATTATTTCCTTCTCAAAACTCTGATCCCTTCTTAGATGTTCATGTAGATTGCTGGAAAACTGAGAGGCAGTTGTATAGCCATTTCCAACA